CGGTTGGTTGGTTTTCGGATTCAGCTTTATATTGCTGTATGAGGAACTTCACATAGGGACAGCAAAGATATTGAATAAATGATATCTAGTCACTGTTGTTTAAATATTTTTTCAAAATCACCTCTGCAACTATAGTTTTAATGCTTTGTAGATTTAATTTATCAATAAGATCAGTTATTGGCAACAATTTGAGCAAAGTCTGCGCGAAATTTTTATGAGCTCATTTTTTACCAAAGCGGAATCTAATCTAAAATTGCCAATGCTTGAAAGTAGATCACCGAGTGCTAATCAGTTACTATTCCCTCCCTCTTTCTCTATTACTACTTTGATGTTATAGTCCGGATTATCTGGCAGCCATACAGATTCCTGCGTAGGCGCTCATCGGCATTCACCTCATATAGATCTAATAATTGCAGCGTCTTGTTCCGGATGTCCTCCATTTCATTCCATAGGCGTATATTTCTTAGAAAGGATAATTATCTTCTTTCTATTCCCCCCTTACTCCCTCTATCCTACCTTGGACAGTCAGTTGTTGGAAGCAGTGTCTGTCGCCATCCAGTGGCCTGACTAACTGAAGTTCCACCGCTGAAATGGATTTTGACATCGCCTTTTCGTCATACATACCTCCGGTACTTAAGGCTAAACATCAAGTTTTTATCCGATGAAAGTTTTCAAATCCTTGAGAAAGTTGTTCTAGCTTGTTCGACCCTACATCTTAGTTCTTATTCTGAGTTCCATTTTTTAATGACCATGCATCTCAAATAGGTACTTGAAGTGTACAACCTGTTCGATGGACTTTCGATTTACTGATACGTTAGGCGATGTTAATTTTTAAGCCCATATTCTCAGGCCCTGCCGATCGATAGATGTTTAGTTGTCGATTGAAGTCTTTTATAAAGACATTTTACGTATATGTGTTGTGAAACCAGAACATCATTTCCATAACATCTATCTGCGACCGTTGCTGAAAGAGAAAGAGAGCAGTTGACCTTCCCCTGACTGACACCCTCCATGCCTTTTTCCGCCCCCTAAGCACTTGCAATCATGCCAGGACATCGCATCGTCACCCGGTGTTTGATTAAGGTAATATATCCCGAAGTGGCGCGCGCTAGATTGTTTCCACTGTTTCGGACCCTCCCCCTTTCCTTTTTCCCATTTTGACTAATTTAGCACGGTCAAAGTAGATTTCATTATAGATAGCAACAAATCTGGAAAGATTGCAATGTTTTACATAATAGCGTGGGGGTCAGCAAACTGAGCTCATATATCCAAACTGGAGGTAACACAATAAAGTATTTTAAAAGTCATATCGCATAAACAGAATGTATCCATGTGACCAGTTGTATAAGGAAAGTGGCATTTTAGATATAAGACAATTATACCTATTGAAAGTTTTGACTGTGCAACGGGAAGCTTGTTCCTCAATCCAAGATCCGTTACATACTTACAACACCAGGAACAATAATCACATGAAGGTCCCCAAACCATAAAAAAATGTCATGCTCATATCGTATCTTTATGTTACAATCTCCTTCCACAAGATTTGAAACTCATTTACTCCAAATACTCATTTAGAAGAAAAGTGAAAGACTGGTTAATATCTATGCCCAGAAAGAAAACTCATGAAATTGATGATATTAGTCAATATTGATATGAAAAGCCAACATACTAAAATCCTAAATTGAAGTTACCGATTTGGACGATATATTTATACGATTCTAATAATCCCGATTTTGAAAATAACAATATGTTTCACTAACCTATATATATAGAAATGAATTATAGAATGTATAGCGACTAGCTGCTTCCCGCGGAATACTTACTATAAATCTATTATGATTCGCAGAATTCTGACGTCCGAACATTTTTCTCCGTAGTTTTGTTATGATATATGGATCCGAACTTGAAACATGTTCAAATTAGTGAAAAAATAGAGCTAAAACTGATTACTGCAAACGTGTTCATTGTGTGCTCAAAAATGTTCGAGATCTCGAGAATCCCACGAAACGATGGTTTGAGTCCGAGTGATCCAAAAGTTGTACTCTTCTAGCACGCAATGGGCATGCGTGAGAGAAAGGCAAGAATGTCCACACTTGACGCTAGACCCCAAAGTGGTGGCTAACAAAGGTTTTCCGATGGCATTATTTTGTTTCTTGGCTTCCATGAAATTTTCTACGGAAATGTGAAGTAACAGGATCCAAGAACGTAGAGATCCGATTGATTCGGTGCCGTGCAGAGTGCTAATATCCAATTAGGCCAAAGGAACACCATAGCACTAATTAGCTTCTTTAGTAGGAAGAATAACAAGTGACTATGATGATTTTGCAGCTAGAGAGAGTTATTTTAAAGAGATTTTTGAATTAATGAGCTTTGTCTTTCCATTTCAAAAGCCATGACAAGTTGCGGTACACATACATCTAAATATCTTGATAGTTCGCTGTCTTTTATTCGTCTAAAAATCCATACGCCCTTAATGAGTAATATTCTTGGTTGTTCAACAGATATTTTCTTATTCAAGCTCCACTGTGATACTACTTTTTCCAATGGAATTTTGGTTATGTGGTAGTTAGTTGAAAACGAGGCTTCTGTTTCTTTTCTTCGAAAAAGCTTGTCAGGTTCATATTTCCAACATCTACGAGGTCTGTAAATTAAGTGATGAGACTGGCAACGTAGCGTTCGATCTGACAACACTGGAGGCGCCGAGCTTGGAGGGGAGGTACACGTTTGAACTCGCTCGAGTCATTTGTTTTTTTTTTTTGAGAAACAGTTTTTCTTATTGTGTATTAAAAATGAATGACTCTTGCTATACTTTAGCGGGTCTACGAAGATAGTATTTTGTGAAGCGCCCCGGTTATTCGGTAGTATAAGGCATTTTCAGAAGAGGGAAAGTCGATTGAAGATGAATCATGAAGCGTAAGGCCTTCATCTTCAAGTTACCGATGAAAATATCGACAGAATCCGGGACCTTGTGCGTTTAGATTGTCGGTTGACAATCAGAACGTTCGGTAAGAGTTAAATTTCACTCACCCCATCGTTCTTCAGATCAAGAACAATTGGGTCACGATAATGCTCCTTCTCACACAGCAATGTCAGTAAACGAGTTTTTGACCAGTAAAAACTCCTCAGCCTCCTTATTCGCCTGACTTGTGTTCTTGTGACTTTCTTCTCTACCGAAGTTAAAAAATCACCTTAAGGGAACTGATTTGGGACAAACGAAAACATTCACATGGCTGTAACTGACCAGCTGATGGCTATTCCAGTAGAGTTCCAGCACTGCTATGGGGTATGGAAGAACCGATTCCAGCTCTATGTGGTTTCAGAAGGAAATTATTTTGAGGGTAGCAATATAAAATTGTAGTTACATTTGGATAAAAAAATTAAAAAAAGCAGTCTAACCACTCGATTAACAGACCTCTCATCAGCGTCCTTCGCCCGAAGTGTAAAACTCTTCGAAAACCCCGCTTATTTATCAAAATCAGGGACCGACCGATATATGGACCATTAAGTTTGTACCAATTTTCTCATACTATTCGCCCTTTTCCTACCCCTAACCGTCAGTGATGGCCCGCGTGTGTGCAGCAATGCCACCCCCAACCCCCGTTCGGCAAAGCGACGGTCGCCAGTCGCAGTGCACAGCCGCCTCCGATCTGCCACCGGCGAACGAAAAGCGATTCGCGCTTGTTTCCTTCCTCGTGGCCATCACGATGATGAAACGCGGCGATATTGCGATTCAAGGTCGACCAAATGGAAGGTCAACCCTACGGTGACGGTGTCCGTGAAATATCACCTCGCGTCGGTCTGGTCGCGACCAGCGGCAGGTGGTTGAAGAGTGTTTTAGTGACATCTGTCGTAAGCACATGGTTTAGGAGTGTTTTATTTGTGTTCAAGACCGGTAAAGCCACCGAGATCTTTCATTTTTACGTTTCTGCTATCCAAAGGACCGGTTTTATAAGCACTGTTTGATGGGCGTTTTGCTTAATTTATATAGATTACTATCAAGTGTTTTATTATCAGAAGCTCTAAAAATTGTTATTTGTCGAAATACACATCAAGTAATGTAACGGATAATATTGATTATATATGCTTCTGGACATCACACATATTTCTGAACCTTATAACAAGCCCCAATATCTAACATGACATTTATTGGCTGAGCCTAATCCAACGATTACTAGTTTTAGAATAAGATTTGATGTCAATTTCAGTAATAACTATAACGAATATGTTATAATTATATCATTTCGAATAACTTTCTTTGATTGATTAGAGACGCTGTGGAAACGACAACCTTTATAAAATTACTGTCTTCCTTCTCATAATCCTACAAAGGAGTCTTGTTTATTCCGCTTAAGTTAGTTTATCTTTATTTGTTGTTCTGTTATTGGCACTGGTCGATGACCAACTGGCCAGATCCTTGTTAGTTTATCTGTAGGCACATACTGAAACCATCCAGGACATTATTATCACAAAAAATGTACAACTTTTGCCGTTACTTAGCTTCTATCGAATCTAGGAAGTTATTCTTCCTGAAAAATGCTTTAAACAGCATGAGATGACTATGGGGTCAAACATCTCATAGACTGTGTATTTTTGTTCTTATTTATACGGACACCGATTCACTAATTGAGCGACAGATTGAAGGGGCTGTTACACGAATTTCATAAGACTGTTTCTCGATCAATACACCAATCGCAACATATCATGTTTTTGCTTTTTCGATTGCTATTGCTCTGATTCACATTTTAGCATATGAGAAAAATGTCATTGAGATGAAATAAGATATTGGGTAGTATTTTTAAGACGTGCCTTTGTATCTGTGATTCTTTTCGAGATTGGTCCATACGAACAGCTTCTTTTGTCAAGTCGTTATTTCTTATTTGCAGCACTTCTATAGCAAATTTTTTTAACATAGACAATATAAACCGTGGATGGTAAAATTTCCTGAAGCATGATACTCCCGAAAATGGTTTTGGAACTATACAGACTCTGAGTGGTTATGTAAACGATTAGTGGCATTTGTGTACCTACATAGTGAAAACATAGTGTTTAGTGATAGTTGTATGGCAAGGTGACTGAAAGTGGATGGAAAGTAATGTCAAGCAAAGAACGTAGGAAGAAAGGTGTACTAACTTTCTCAAGTGGTGAAAAGTCAAATTCATTAGACTGGGACTCGCCTTCTACCAAAACAGGTACTGTGAAGAGAAGGCCAAATTCTGGGTAAGTTCACAGATAATGATAACTAATAGCAACTACTTAGACATATTTTACCTGTTGATTATAAGCCGTAACTTGTGGAGGACCATCTTAGAGCCATTCGTATATAGTTCTAGTCTACATAGTTCTAGTCCATTCGTATTTGGGACCAACTTCATCACAAATATACATTATCTGCAAAAAACCAACTTAGTTTTGAATTTTCTTGGTCGGTGCTCGGCACTTTAAGCTTAGTATATATTTTAACTGTTTTTCAGGGATTCAGTTTCCGATTACGAGACACAAATTTGTAAAACGAATGCCAAGAAACTGGAAGACAAATCAAGGAAAACCAAAGAATCTGGTCAGAAATGGTTCTTTAGCCCCAAAAAGTTTAAGAATCCTAAGCCAATCGAGGAAACAGTGTTTCATAACTACGAAGAACTGGATTTCGAAATTTCCTCAAAGGAGAAAAGCAAAACATCCTGCCACAACTATGAACTCCTTAGCTTTGAAAAACCAAATTTCCCAGAAACTAACAACCCAAAGGTATTTCACAACTACGAGGAACTCGAATTTGAGATAAGCGAGACCCCTAGATCAAAAATCTCATCTAGGATAAGGCACGCCAGAGTTCCAAGGCATCACAACTACGAGTTGCTTAGTTTTGAGAAGCCTGATGCCAGTGAAACAAGTAATCATAACTACGAACTCTTGGATTTTGGAGATGTACGAATTCCTGATGACAATGCTCATTGCAGTTCCCTGAAAAATACGAACTGCAATAATGAGATTGAACATGGCGAAGGTAGGTCGATCAAGATACTATTTGTATACTAATAGGGAACAAGTAATATGCAGAGAATTCTACTATCAATTTCATACATTACAACTCACATCGTACTTTATAAGTGTACACTTCTTTTAGCATTATATTTGAATAGCGTGGGTGAATAAACGACTACTTAAACTGGGGATGCTGAAAATAATTAATTCTATGGCTTGCTAGTTGGTGCAACGGCCATTCTAAGTTTTTGTCACACTAGCGAGTTAGAATTCTATTTAAGGATGAAGGTGGATGATTGCCAACTTACAATCATTAAATCTGGCTGTGGGAAGCAGAATGCACAAAAAAAACTGTTGTATTTTTGAATTGGCCGTTTTGAAAACCACTCAGTCATACTTCTATCCAAAATGTTCTCTGTGCTAAAAATGCTTCCTTAAAGGTACATGTGTATTTTGGGCATAAACCACATATGTCAATACATTCCTTCCTCTTCCAACTATACTATATTAAGCTGAAAAAAGTGCCTTAAAACTTCTTTTGTTAATGACACAGTTTTAATTGATCCCTGAAAAATTTGCGGCTGATGGGTTATTTGAAATGATTGATCAATTTATAAGATTAAAAAATTCTTCTTCAAAATCTTAAAAGAAGAAAAAGCTTTGAGATCTATCGTACTATTAACTTTTGAGAGTGTATAGCTGCTAAGCTTTCGTTCGTTGTTCGAGAGACCAAACCTAGACCATGCTGACGAGTATCCAAAAAGCATGAAACGGCTGTCCATGATGGGCTGTGTTTGGCCGGATGGACAAAATTAGCAAGTTGAATACTTTGATTCATTTAGATAATTGAGTAAGACTTTAAGAAAAAATATTACAAATTTCTTACATGGTAAGGTTCTAGCCTCGTAAAGCTTCAGCAGTCGACTAATTGCTCAATATCCTAAGCTCCACATTTCAGTTTATCGTAATAGGATAATCAAGAAGCAATGGAGAATAAACCTTCTGGGCATGCTTTATACAGGGTGCTCATTTGAAAACTTTTCACCACAGATTTATAGAAAACCACTGATTAGAAGAAAAAAAAAACGCCGAGAGACGTCAAACGATTTGTCAAGGGGAACAACTTTAACCAAAAACCACTTCACCTCCTTTCACCCTCGGCCCCCAGGGGCATTCCCTTAAAAATTTTAAATGACAAGGGCTATAGAGTAAAAGGTTGTTTGAAAGGTCTTCCAAAGTCCCTTATTTTAATGTTTGATTTTTTGGAATCAGCCGATTCGTTTTCGAGAAAATTAGAAAAATCATTATTTATCTTAAATTGTTCAAATAGAAAACAAAAAGAGACGAAAATATCACTTTTTATTCCGATAAGTCTTCAGAATGTACAATTCGTTTATAATTTGCAACGGAAACTACCAACATAAACTGCAGTTCAGAAGATTAGACGTGTCAACAACCAAATAACAACCCGAATTTTTTCCGTACTCTTTTCATCAACACCGACATCCTGGGCGAACGGTATTTATTGTTATAACTAGTTATTTGTTGCTAAGGGAAAGAAATAATTTAATTTGCTGTCAGTTACCTTTGTGACAATCTTGGGATAGTGAAAATTAATTGATTGATTCAGATTTTACTCCCAAAATGGCTTACACACAGGATGAAGCCGCTCAAGTTATTGGGTTATTTAGGAATATATCCTAATACTTCATTACACAAAATTGTTGCTGGGACTGGTTTTTCATTAGGCTCTGTACACACACTTACTTAACTCCATAAATTTCATCCATTCTAAATGAAAATATTGCAAGATTTAACCGTAGATGATTTCGATAGACGAGTTGAGTTTTATGAACAAATGACTGCAGAGCTTAATGAGAATACCATTGATGTAAAGAATATCTGCTTCAGTGACGAATGCACATTTTATCTAAATGGATTTGTTGATAAGATAACTGCAGGTATTGGAGAAATGAAATTCCTCATGCTTTTGTAGAACAAGTACCTCCAAAAAATTTATGTATGGGCAGGCATTTTAGGTAACGAAGTGATTGGGCCACTGCTTATTAATGGATATTTGAATGGAGACATTCATTTGGATATGTTGAAAAACACCATCAATCCGATTATAACTGAAACCATTGGAAATTGAATCAAAGAGGATGGAAACCCAATTCTTGATGAGGCTGAAATATATTTCCAGCAAGATGGCGCTCCTCCTCACTATGTGCTTCCGGTTCGGCAATGGCTAGAAGACGAGTTTCCAGATAAATGGATAGGGCGAAGAGGGCATATAGAGTAGCCTGCTTGATCTCCTGATTTGACGCCACTAGGTTTTTTAATGGGGCCATTTGAAATCTATTGTGTTTACTCCCCAACCTGAAGGTTTGGATGAACTTCGTTAACGCATCATCGAAAGCTGCCATGATATCCCACAACATGTTTTTGAAAATGTCCGTCAGGAATTTGAACATCGCCTATATCATTGTTTGGCCAATAATGGGCAACATTTAGAACATTATTGAAATCAAAAGTGATATTTTCGTGTATTTCTGTTTTCTATCTGAACAAATTAAGATAAACAAAGATTTTTCTAATTTTCTTGAAAACGAATTGACCGATATAAAAAAATCAAACGTCAAAATAAAGTACTTTGAAAGACCTTTCAAACAAGCTATTACTTGATACCCCTTCTCATTCATGGGGATGACCCTGGGGGCAGAGGGTGAAAGAGGGTGAAGAAGTTTTTGGTTAAAACGTTGTCTCCCTTGACAAATCTTTTGACATGTCAGTGGTTTTCGATAAATCCGTGGTGAGAACTTTTTAAATGAACATCCTGTATAATCATCATCTTCGTTTGCACAGTTCTTTCTTGTATTTGATGTTTTACATTTATTATAGGCACTATAGTCTGAAAAAAATTATTCTGGAATTACTTCTAAATACACTGCGACTTGAAATGCTTTGTTTTCTGCCGGAATATCTAGCTTCAGCTTAAGAGCTACTAATAAATAAATAAATAAATAAAAACGCCTTTATTTTAAACTCGGCGAAGGCCAGCTATGCTGTTAACTTAACCGAGCATGTAAAAAGTAACAACAAGCCAAAAAGAAAAGTAATATGACAAGAAACAAGTTTTACATTACATTAATTTTAGAATATTACATGACAACAATGAACAATAATAACAACAGATGTACGTATACAAAGAAAATAAGCAATAATAAACAACTTATACTTCACAGAAGCAGTTGTTTCAGTTTTCGTTCGAACATATTAGGAGACATATCTTCAAATTGACCTATATTGTATTGGTATACACATTTAAATGGAACTGGTAATATTTCTTTCGATGGAGTATTTAATGTAGATGTGTTTTTCAGATTGTTTCCTCTTTCGCGCTTAAAAAAATGAACTCCTATCACTTTGATAATGTAAAATGAAATAACGCTCGTTTTTTAGGATTATGTTTTACGGGAAATTACTGGTGTGTTAATAGCTTAGAATTAGGGGCCACGCACCTTAGAAATCGTATCACGAAATGGTAAATATATTAGTGACTGAAAGATAGTTTTTAAATTTTTTGATGTCGTTCACTAATGCCGACCTGCAAATCGCGTGTTAATTCTGTTGCGATTTTGGTTCTATATTGAAGATTAATATTGCCCTACTAAATGGATGATACTATGATAAAATTCCATAAGATTTTCTATCCTAATATTTTTTCATATAGAAAGTCCTTATCTGTTGTCTTAAGGTGGTGTTTTGGAGAAACAGAAAAACAAAAAAGTCAGGCCCGAGCAAGCTGAAGGATCTAAGGGAGCATGTAGATCGGCGATAAATTGGGAGCAGTCAGGGTCGCTTAAGGGTCTAACCGATGATGTGGGTCAAGCGGTTAAGCCATCGGGTGAGTTATCGATGAAAAGGGTTGAATGTTAGGGGACGCTGGATATTACTAGGGAAGTAGCGACTGTGTGGGCAAGTAATCCTATCTATTAGTTTGAACTGAAGAAAGCCTGGCGGAAGTGTTACAAAAATGAACAAAAAACTTGTCAATCAGATTACGTCGCTACTCGCCCTGTATAAATAAGCTAAGAAGTATTGCCCCAATCACTGGAAGTTGGTCAGCTACTTATCAAGACTGTCACCACACACCTAACCCTTAACCGGAAAGGTGCCGTCTGTGAGACTGCGGCGTTTCTATACCTGAGCGTATCTTTTTTTATTGCACCTCTAACAGACGTAAAAACCCATCTAATCCATAAGCTATTAGTGACCATCGCGCACCCCCATTCACACGAGTCTAGCCAAAACGTGCCTTAAAATATGGACCAATTTTAGTTTGTTGCAGTCTGTCAGACGGCACGTTTCCGTTCCCGTTTGCTATTTGTGTTGCATAGGTGCGTTTGCGAGTATGGCGGGACCTTCTAAACGTGTACGATACGATTATCCGGAGTTCGAAGAAACCGTTCTAAAATGGTTTGAGGATGAAGGAAGTGACTTTAGTGATATAGACAGTGCCTCAGAAGACGAATACACGGAATCAGATCATACAAGTGATAGTGAGTTATCAGAAGACGGAGCCGAAGGAAATGAAGAGGATTTACCAGCTCAGAATTATTTCTATGGAAAAAATCGTCATAGGTGGAATATTTCGGAAGTTGTACCATCATCACGTACAAGGAAGCACAATATAGTCATTAAAGTACCAACTCTAAGAGGAAAAGCTCATGAATATGGAGAAGAAGCAGCTCCGTTGACGGTTTGGCAGCTTTTGTTCACTGACGACATGTTGGTACA